GATTTCCCAATTTCTCCAGTTTCATAAGAAATTTTTTTAAATAAATTTAAATAACGTTTAACGTGAATATGTAATGAAAGATGGTTTATTATTGGATAACAAATAATCTAAAAATTTAAAAAGAATTAGTTTTATTAATTATAGTTAATATTTTAATAATATATAAGTGAAAAAGTTAAAAACAAGAGATAAGAAGCTACCATTTTGCCATTTCTGAAAATTTATTGTAAGATAATACAGATTCATCTATGATTGCCATTTTAAAATGTATCAAACATTTAAAATAATTTCTGATTCTTTAACAATCATAAGTTGGCCATAAAAGCAGTATGAAACACAGCCTAGGTTGATAAGCATAATATGAAATGTGAACTTCTAAACTAGATTATTTATTGTCAATTAAGTAGAAATCTCACTAATGTGATGGTAATTATGTTAATTGTTGAAAAAATCCCAACTTGGATGCATTTGACATGAAGAGATGTAAATTTGAGCTTAATTGAAATTCATTTGAAGTAATTGAGGATCAATCGAATTGTATGTGATCAATTAGAAGTATTAAGAAAGCAATATTCACAAGTTTTGTTAGCCAAATTTGACATTAAAAAGTTCAAGAACTTGATTGTAAACTTTCAAAAACTGCATCAAATCGATTTCCAATGATGGTGTAGCACGAGGACCAAGGTATAGATCGTGAAAGATGAAGGACAAAAATTAGACATAGGAAAGAACTCGAGCATAATAAAAAGAAAAATTCGGGGACCAAGTTGAATGGAGACCAAAGTTTAAGTAGCACTACCACAAGGCATAAACCTATGCAGTTGCAACCATGGCAAATTTCATTCCAGCTAGTACTTTTGCCATGTGAGAGCCCTAGAGGAAGCCATTCAGAGAAAGATGCATTCTTTACAAGTTTTAAAGAAGCTTTTGTTGTAAAACACTTATTCCATACCAATTTCATACATTTTTGCTTGGGTTAAAGATGAAGTAGGAGAATCAAAGAGATTGGTGAAAAGATTCAAGGATTCAAGATTTCTTTCCATCTTTTTTCCACTCTTTAATTTGGATGATGTTGTGCAATTTAATTCGTATTTTTGTAATCAAGTGACACTTGGCTAATCGTATAGATGTTAGGATAATGTTGAACCCTATGTTTTGATATTTTGATATTAATTTTAATATTTTTTAGTTTATTAGATTTTGAATGGCTTTTAGGAGTCTAGTGCCTTTTTAATTGTTTTATCAATAATTAAATTGTTTTGTAAATTTTACCAATATTATTCAAGATAATGAATATGGATTATAGCATGTAGTAGTAATTATTGTAAATTTCGATCGGGAATAGAGATATAATGGTATGATTTGTATGATCTTATTATTGTTTTTGTGATTTAGTGTACATCGGGTCGTATGATGATAGATTTAGTTTTATTGGAGAGAGATTATTCAATAAATGAGAAACATTGATCTTCATAATACGAGTAAGTGTTGTCAAATAAAAGAATTATATTTATTAAAATAAAAGAATATAAAGGATTTGAAATAGTGCTTGCCATTTCTTGAGTATTCATACAAGTTTTTAAAATGGGTTGGAATAGTTAGATTAGTTATAATAAAACTCTACCATCATATTTTCCAATTCAATTAAAGCTACCATTAATTGGAAACTAGTCGAATACTTAGACCTCGTAGGACGATAATCCGAACTCTTGGTCCACTTTATTGTTTGTTTACGATATAATTCTCTCGTGAGATTTTAGTGCAATACATATCTTATAGTATCTTGAAAAGACTTTCTAAATGTAACATGTTATCTAATTGAAAGAGACAATACTTATAAATAAGCTTCATCAAACCCTCTATTTTAATGGGTTTGGCTATCTAACTCACTATTTATTCTTACTTTATATTGAAATGCATTTAATAAGTTATCGTATTTAAATAGACATTGTTGAAATATATTAAAAAAAAAAATTAACACTCGATATTTAAAAATGTTCTCTATTGTAAAGAAAATACTTTTTATAAATTGAGAACCTCTCAAAACCCTAATCCATAATTGAGAAAAATAATTTCTCTGATTTCGTTGTGACTATAGAGATAGTCCCCCGGTAAATGAATCCCTAGTTGGCAACGAGTGAATCCCATAAAGCTAGCAGTGCATTATAAGATGGCCAAGATGTCAAGATAATGTATTCAAACAAGACACGTCTACCAGTGCATTATTAGATGGCCAATAATCAATGTTATTCAGTATTCACATAGTTAGACTAGTGACCTGTTTGGATGACTGGATTCTCGATAGTAATACTTATAATTATGGTTTGATTGTTTGGTGACTGAATCCTCAAATTAAAGCACCTTCATATGTATCCAAACAATGTAGATGGCACACTTGTGCATTATCAATTTGGGAAATTCACGTCAGTTTTTGGAACAATTTGTAGCCACATGCACTTAGATATATTAGTCTTGTCATCTTCCACATTTGAAATTTCCTTTTTCCATTTTTCCTTTATCCTTTTTCTCTGTTTCTTAGAATTTCAAAAAGTTAGTCATATACAGTAAAAAGATCTTGTCATCATAATCGAAATATCATTTAGTGGTTACCACTTACCAAGATAAAGGCTGAAAAAAAGGGTGTTTATTTTCTAAAAGAGATAGAGAGGTTCCAGTAAATATGTTTTCCGATCTGTCCCAACTTATGTGGTGAATATATTTAAATTGCCAAACTCCATTATAGGGGGAGGAGGGCTCGACTTCGTAGACATTGTAAAGTTTAATTAGGCTCGAGTTGCCAAGCATGATCTTGAAATACACTACTATAAGTTTTTTCACCTTATAATTTAAGAATCCAAAATTAATCGATCTCACTGACACAATAAATATTTGTTCCTTTAAAGGTCTCCAATAAACAATTTTTTAAAATAGAATTTTATCCATGTAAAGAAAAGGTGGATGTCCTAAATATACACAAGTAATTAGTACAAAATAGCGTAGAACACTCGTAGACACTCGAAATTATTATTTTTTGTTATATTTAGGTTGATCTAAATGCAAAAATAAACGACAACAAATTAAAATTTATTTACAATGAATTTGATATATCATTTTCTTGAAATTCCTGAATTCTATTGTAGCTGCGTCCATTTTTCACATACCAAGATAATTATGAAATTTGCATGAGAATATTCCAACAAGGCAAACATAGATGGAAAGTGTGTCATCCCATTAAAGATTATGAATTGGAAGCCATTTTGTCCTTTAAACATATTGTCAATGTCATTCGTAGTTTTCATTATCTCAAACATCATTACGATAATCCCAAAAGTTTTAATAAAATATTAGTTAGGATCATTATTGCAAATGTGACAACAAACCATAGCCACAGATTTATATAAATTTATGTGCTATTTCTTTTGTCGTTGTTGTTCTACCTTATACATAGGACAAACACTTGGTTTAAAGTTTTAAAAAGAAAATTCGAGGTTAAACACATATTGGAAGTGGTTCAAAAACTTGTCCAAATTCATTGGAAGCGATTATTTGGGTCTTCATCCTCATTAGAATTCGATTGGTTCTAAATAAATAAGATACTTTTGCTAAAATTGAATAAGATAGTTTCGAAAGAAAAATTGATAAATATTTTTGTTTAATTTAACATACCAGTTATCTTAATATCTTTCTAGATTTAGATGACTGTGAACACATTTTGTTTTAGAAATGAAGATGATAATTGTTTTTATAAGTTGGGAAACATTTTAATTTTCTTTTGAAAGATTATTATAAGAGATTAGAAATCTGACAACCTACTATACTTTACACATGTTTGGGCATACTTATAAGTATCAAGGTCCATTACTTTTTAAGACTTCAGATAAATTGACTATGGGTCTCTCTCACAAACACAGTAACAATGATTCCCATTTTATTTGTTTAAAAATAGGTTTAAAGCATAACCAAACCTTTTTTTTTTTCATTTTTTTTTCTTTTCTTTTATTTTTGGGTGGGAGGTAGTGGATTTGTGCGATGGAACAGATTGTTTTAGTTTGTTTATATTTAAATTTTATAGTGGAATTGATCAGCTAATTACATTTAGTTTTTGACAAAATAATTATTCAAAAAATTCAACAACAATAAACCAAGCCAGATCAATAAATTTAATATGTTTGAATGAACTTTTTCTAAGAAATGCTATCCATTATTAATATTCAGTAAAGTTATGTTATCGATTAAGTGACAATGGATTCAATGATTCATTAAACTTTAATGGAATTACGATGCACATTAATGCACCATACAATGAAGTACAGATTAACTGTCACTTGATCGACGACGCATCTCTACTAATAATAGTAACATTACTCTTTCTTCTTCGTTTCGTGCAATTCACAAAAGAAAGGTAGATTTAAACAAAAAAAACAAAAACAAAACAAAACAATTCATTAAGAGCTTGATTAATTCCATGATATTGGTTGCAATCCACCTTTTGCAATCTTAACAAATTAAATCATATTAAGTTTGGTATACCTCTATTGAATCTGCATCATTCCATAAACACAATATTAATTACTTCATACAAAATATACACAGACTACCTAAATTAGTGTCCTCTTATTTAATCTTCCACTCATATCACATGATGCACCAATTGTAATTAAATTCATAAATAGTCTCTTAAAATTTTAATTTAGCCCTTATTTGATCCCCATGTTAGGAGAAAGAATGAATTCTTGAATAGTTTATTGATCGAAAATGTGTGGTTAAAAAATAAAGAAAAATTTTAAATTTACGTGTAATATTATTTTATTAAAGAATGTGTTATTGAAATAATGTCAAAATATTGTTCAAAATGCATTTTTTCAAAAGATCAAGGCTCAAACAACTTTTTAATATCAAAACCAAATTTTAAACAAATGCACCCAACCCAAACGAATGTCTATATATACACATGTATCTCTGGGGGCGGGGCGATCGGATACTCAAAGTTGGAGTTGAACCTTTTTATTATTATTTTTTCTTTTATATATACACACGTACAACACAGGCTTTCTGCCTTGGAAATCAACTTGCAGAGCCTCTCCCTGTCATTCTCCTGCAATTTCTTTACAAAATTCATAATTTTCTAGAAATACTTGCAGTGATTCGATAACGTACAAGGCCATAAAATAATTTTTATATAAAGATGCAGAGGATTGCAGCGAGACAAAAATCATGGGAGTTCCGACAATTCCTAGGTTTGCGGCGTTTGTATTCGCCGGCCCAGAATACAAGTGCATGTCTCTCAGGAAATGACGCTGGCATTATTCCTGCCATGCCAGCGTTTGATTATACTCCACCGCCGTACACGGGTCCCGACGCCGAAGAGATCATGAGAAAGAGGAGAGAGTTTCTCAGCCCGTCAATGTTTTGCTTCTACAAGAAACCTGTGAGTCCGTGGTTTCGATTCAATTTGTTTACTTTAATTTAGTTTTTCCTTTGATGTTAATAAGGAGTAAAGATCAAATATGATGCTCCATTTAAGCTGATTTTATTACTTTTAATTTATTTCGTGGAAAAATGAAACACCTTGAATGAAGCGGTAGTCAAGTTATATGTGTATTGTTCCATTTTCGCCTTTTCTGATGTTAAAGGCTTAGTTATAAATTCAAAGGATATGATTTTTTTTGTATATGAAAGTGATGCTAATGATAGATGTATCCATTAATCATTTTCAGTTTTATGAATCAAGTTCCAAAAACGATTGAACACTCATAAGATAAGAATTGATCTCTCATGGTATGTTCAGCATGCTGCACTAGACAAGATTTTAACTTCTTTTCATTTTTGAATCATGTGCAACACTCCAATATACCAATCATGTCTTTAGAGGAGTGAAATAATGTTTTTAATTATGATTTGGTATTACTAGTACATTCGGTAGTGATTATGAGAGTGGCCCTGCAGAATGTTTGAATAATAAGTGTGCAGTATTTTGGTGAGTTTAAGTATTTGATTTCATTGTTACTTAACTAATTTCTTGGATTGCTATATGGTCATAATACTTTTATTGGATCGTTTGAGTTCTATGATGTCTAATTGATTGGTAATGTATTTCGTGTAGGTGAATGTAGTCCATGGCAAGATGCAGTACTTGTTTGATGACAATGGCCGCAGATACCTCGATGCTTTTGGTGGTATTGCCACAGTGAATTGTGGGCATTGTCATCCTGATGTGGTTAGGGCCATCGTTGATCAAACAAAGAGCTTACAACACTCCACCATTCTATACCTTAATCACGCAATTGCTGATTTTGCCGAGGCACTGGCCTCGAAGTTACCTGGTGATCTAAAGGTCATTTGCCTTTTACCAACGGATAAGCTACAAATTTGATTAGGCATTTTACCAACAGAAAATTTGTATTAATGTGTAGGTTGTATTCTTTACAAATTCTGGGACAGAGGCAAACGAATTAGCTATGATGATGGCGAGGTTGTACACCGGTTGTCATGATATTATCTCGCTGAGGAATGCATACCATGGAAATGCTGCTGGGACTATGGCTGCGACTGCACAATGCAATTGGAAGTTTAATGTTGTGCAGGTATGAATGCGTTTCAAAGTCATTATTATTTTGAACATGTTTAGAAGGGTAAAAGGGATAATCTAATGTTCTTAATATATCTGTAAAACGAATGTGAGTTCTTGTAGATAGCTGATAGTAGTACTAATTGGTTTCATAAACAGAGCGGAGTTCATCATGCTCTGAACCCAGACCCGTATAGAGGTCTCTTCGGTGCTGATGGTGAAAAATATGCGCATGACATTCAAGATCTAATTCATTTTGGAACTTCGGGCCATGTTGCTGCTTTTATTTCTGAAGCTATACAGGTAACGAACAATTTATATTATCATCTCCATTTCCTCCTTGAAATCTCTCTAATCTACACAAAATTCTCCGAGTTATTTTTATTTTTTAATCAAACCACCAATGGGATGGATTTTTCATTAATATAGAAATATAAGACAAAGGACAATCGTAAGAGGGGAACGTATAACATGATGACAATCAGATCCTACACTGAATTTCGTGCACCCATCATCATACATTGGCTCCTTGTAACTTTAATCATTGTCCTTATGAAAGTATGCGAGGATTTTCTCATTAACTATTTCTTTATGCAACAGGGTGTTGGTGGAATTGTTGAGTTAGCTCCGGGCTATTTGCCTGCTGTATATAACAGCATCAGAGAAGCAGGAGGTCTTTGTATTGCAGACGAGGTTCAGTCTGGATTTGCTCGCGTCGGGAGCCATTTCTGGGGATTTGAAGCCCATGGTGTTATTCCCGATATAGTCACAATGGCAAAGGTAAGTAGAGGAGCAATGCATTGGTTTAATTCTTTTAGAGAAAAATTGACCAGTACATTTTTAGAAATGCAGGGGATAGGAAATGGAATTCCCCTCGGTGCAGTAGTGACTACTCCTGAGGTAGCTGAGGTATTGACTCGTCGATGTTACTTCAATACCTTTGGGGGGAACCCCGTATGTACAGCTGCAGGACATGCTGTTCTCAAAGTGATCGAGAAGGAAAATCTACAGGAGAATGCCCATATCGTAGGTTCCTACCTGAAAAAGCGCCTCAGTGACCTCAAATCCAAACATGAAAGTAAACTACATTTCTTTAACGCGATTATGCTGTATTTATATTTCATTCATATTTGGTAAGATAGATTAGACATTACTGCAAAATATTATTGAGTAATAAACATTCTCTTCATATGTTTTTATCTAATGTAGAATTTCTTCTTTTGACGTAATGGCACAGGCAATGCAGTTAGGTAAACTTTGTCTTTGACAGTTCCCCTCTCCCCTTGCCATCGAAACATTAAAAAATGGAGACAATAGAATAATTGTTGTTTATACCTGATTAACCTATCTATTAATCATTTTCCTGACTTCTATTGTTGGATCTGTGGAACCTAATTTACTGTACACTTTTTTCTCGCGACTTTTTATTTTCTTTCTATAAAGGCTATTATAGCGTGCTTCTTTCTTTGTGCCATAGAAGAGAGAAAACAGAGAGATGTGAATCCAAAACAGATTGTAATCGTTTTCAATATAATAAAATTATGCAAGCAGCAACAGGTGCACATAGCTCGCACGTTGAGAATGAACCACCTTAAATCGCATGTTCATCTTGTTTTTGTTTTTCGTATCATTTTATTATTGCTCCGATTATGGGTTTAATCCATAACATTGTATATCTGCATATGTAGTCATTGGTGATGTGAGGGGAAGAGGATTGATGCTTGGGGTCGAACTAGTCACTGACCGCCAATTGAAAACTCCAGCAAAGGTTGAAATTCTGCAGGTGATGGACCAAATGAAAGGTACTTGTATTTGCATTTCACTTTGATCTCAGCATTAATCTTATTTTCGAGCTACATTTTGATCAGTTTATATTTAAATGTCAAGATATGGGAGTACTGGTCGGAAAAGGTGGTTTCTACGGAAATGTTTTCAGAATTACACCTCCTCTCTGCTTCACTAAGGAGGATGCTGGTAGGTTTTTAATATAATTTATGCTACTAAATTGCCACTCATTTTGCGACATTCAATTTTCCAATTTCTTTAATGCAGACTTTCTAGTGGATGTGATGGACTATGCAATGACGAAGTTATGAAGTTGCCATCAGAGTCACGGTGGAGCAACTTTCTCATTGCGCATTTGAAGAAAAAAAATATTGTATGATGTAAATTGTAATATTTATATCATTATTCATCAAATGTATTATTAAAGCTTTTGTCTATGTATCTTAGTTGACGAAGAATACTTGATGGGAAAATATAAGACTCTTTTATTTGTTCCGATGTACTAATGAATGAATATATGCATTTTCTCTAGCTTGTAAGGTGAATCACATTTTATTATTGGTGCAAATTGATTGGTCTAAAAAATGCGAAATGGATTGTGCTAGTTATAGAGTAATATGAACCATTGTGGTCAATTATCTATATTATTGTTGTCACTTTCTAGTTGACCATAGTACAATATTTGAATTTTGAATTCAAATGGATTGGCTCTATAATTATAAGATATCTTCATTTCTCTCATTTTTGGACTTGGCATAATACAGAGAGAAAGTATAGAGAGGTAACCAAGTGGGAGCTTTCCATATTTCCGGTGAAATTCTTGGTGGCTTTCGGCGGATCTTTTCTTTGTATATCTATTGCCATTCTCGTGGACGACGGTGTATGATCCGGTATGGCACAAATCTGAGCTAAACATTATAGAAGACTCCATTGGTGGTGTTGAAGAAGCTTTGGGTCGCTTGGTTCGGTTTTAGACTTTGAGAGTTTACATTTTTTGCATTGTAATTGTAATAATCTTTTGTATACTACATTTTAAACTCTACACAGCTACTAAAGTAACTTTTACTTCTGTTTTAGCTTAACCAAAAATCTTCGTATATGAGACAAAGGGGGACTAATTAAATTACGGCTACTCTTTGAAAATCTTCTCCGCCTATGAAGTGTATGTGGCCTGCAAGTGCTTTGGATAGCAGAGAAGCTTTGGATATTCTTGTTAGGGATTGAGCCTTGATCTTAAGGCCATGGAATTTTGGTTCATTTGAGAATTTTGTTATCTTCACTTAGTGGCGGCAAGAGCCTGGCCGGCTGCACCGTTAAACCCTCGATCTTGAATCGTGTCCAAAATAATTATTCGGTCCGGTCCATTGGCGTGTGGGTCTCATGATTGAACCAAGCAGCCCACGAGTCCATTTGTTTAAAATTTTCTTTTTAACTTAAAAAAATTGAAACCCTTCTCTTTTTTGGGGCCTGTAATCGACTATTTTAAACGTAGGTGGAGTTAATATGTACACGGACAAGATATTACGCGTACAATTTTTTTCCCTTAAAACTCATAAAATTTAACGAAAATTAACATAAATTTTTCAGGAGCCCATAAATGCAACCAATTGGTTAAAGTCAATATTTCAAAAGTTTGGTATGGATTCATATGTAAATGTAAAATTTGTTGAACTCTCATTTGGAATAATATATGAAAGAAAGATGTAGAATAATGTCTTATATATTAGAATTGGACAGTAAATATATGATTCTCATACATTTGGAAAATATATGGACTAATGGAAGAATGAAAAAGATTGAATATAATTTATACAAGAATTGAATAGAAATCACTTAAATAAGTAAATTTAAAAACAATAAAACTCAAAATTACACAATAAAACAGCTAATGTAGTAAAATAGCCAACGGTCACAAATATTTTGGCTTAATTAGTATTAATCTAATGTTTCTTTATGTTACTTGAATAAACAAACACACAATTCCTCTTTAATGGCCAAGATAGCATCTCAAGCGAATGTTCATCTCATAAACAAGATTAGTGATGCCAAGACTTGAGAATGTGTCTCGAGTTCATTGGTCTTCTCAAATTGTGCTGCATTCATCATTAGTAGGCACATTAGTTTAGTGATCAAGAGTTATTACCTTTAAAATTTCTAGTATTTCTTGAAGTTTATTCATTTGTCTACAGATTTTGGAATTACTTGAAAATTACATGTATTCATGGAATAGATACGTTTTAAATGAATTCACAATAACACGATGAGGACGTTTTGAAATCATTAATAATACTTATTTGAAAATATCAAGCCGATGAAAATGGAATTGTTGTACTGTGCACGGTAAAATCTGATTGCTGTCAAGCGATAGACATGTCAATTTAACCAGAGCTTTGTTAATCAAAAATCATACTCACTTGTAATATAAAGAAATTTATGGCAAAAAAGAGGAATTAATTTAGTTTATTGTATAGTTAAATTCTAGAGGGAAATCGAATCAAGGCTGATAAGAATTGAATGAAGGGAAGACTAGATGTCAGAAGATTAGAATAAGGAATAATGAGTCACCACGCTTAGGGAAAGGAGTTCTTCCGCCCCGGTTAGGCCAACCAGGAGCAAAGCCCCAAGGGAAAGGAGCCACCGTCGGTCAAGTATAGCAAGGCAGGGTTGCCAGGCCCTGCCGCTCATAATATGCATAGCGGTCTCCTCCCGAGTACCTGGGGAACCAAGGACCGCAGTCCCGCTTTGTCCCGCGAGGGCGGACACGGAAAGAAGAAGGAGATACGGAGGATCCCCCTAAGAACCCCCGGTGGTGGGCCAAATCTGAGCTGTGCTCGGTTCATTTCTCTGCAAGAGTGCTTATGCTAACGTATCATAAAGAGTATGTCCAAAAGGTAGTATTGTACAAGATTGAAAGGTGTAATGAGCACCATTTTGATAGAAATATTTTATTCAATAATATCTAATATTGTTTTGATCTTTTTTATCGTTTTGACTTTACGACTGAACTTTCGTGATCATGTGTAAGCATGCTTAAGCACAAAGTTCTTTGAAATTGAGTTTGAAATCAAGTGCAAGATCATTAAGATTCACTTTGTACCAATTGGATGAAGACGATAGGTCACAAGACACAACACAAGTTAGTCACAAATTTTAAACATGGTTTATACCATTTTTTTCTATATAAGTCCAAATCCACAATTATTGTGGTCCTGACGATTTGTTTTTATTCTAAATATCATAAACTAAAGATAGAAAGATCAACCCTTCCATTACAAGGGATATAAATGGAAAGAATGTGTTGCCACTTTAAATTACAAGAATACTATGATCTTTACATACTTCAATTTATCTTATCAATTTCAAGTAGAAAATAAATTGGCATAATAAAGACAAGATATTTGTAGTACGACGATCATGCAACAAAATAAATATCTTGAAGCAGCCCATAAAGATAAACTTTCATGAGAATAATTGGAACTTAATTGTCGCACTAAATATATAGTTCAAACTAGACGATGTCACTATAGTGATCTTATCATTATCGATGACATGACTTAAGACTAATCTTTAATAATACGAAAAGTCAGCTCATTTTATTTATTTATTTAATTTCTGGCAAGAAATAACCCTTGAAAAATCAACAATTTTAAAGGAATAAAATCATCATTCTCAAGAACACGTTTCTAGTATATGCATTTGCACAAAGCATATAATTGATGCCAATAAAATGACAACCACATTGGATATAGAAAAGTCATTCGATCCAACACGTGTTTTATTTTATAAAGAAAAGATGCCAAACTTATTAAAGCCATTTCAAAATTAGTTTATGCATTTTATATCCTAGTTAATATTTAGTCATTATTCTATAAAAACTCATTTTCAACAATACATTTTTTCAATAAAATAATTTTATATATACATAAACTTAAAATTTTTCTCTACTTTTTAACCACACATATTCCCAAAAATTACTATTCAAAATCTATTATACATAAAAACGGGGCCTAAACACACCCTTAGTTGCACCAAAATTAAAAAGGTTGGCTATTATTTATTTTATTGTTCCAAAATTCAAGAAATTCTGTCCAGGAAGCATTTTTAGCAATTTTTATTTTGCGAAGTATAACTAATTCTTAGAACGAAATGACAATATTGTTATAATAATTAGGCCTTGTGTTTGAGAAAAGATTTTTTGAAAATTGATTTTTTTGGAGAATTTGTTGTTAAAAAAGTAAGAAAAAAATGGAAATGTTAAAATTTGATTTTTTTTTTTTTAAATGTATGGTTAAAAATGACTTTAAAAAATTGTTTCAATAAATGTCTTAGGATTCGTTTGATTGCAAAGATGGAATTTGGATGGAAGGAAAACGAATTTCAGTTAATTGAATTGTTTAGAAATTATTTTCCTAAAAATTGTAAATTATTGTGTTTGATTGAAATAATTTTTCATGTGGAAATTGTTGAAATAAAAGTGTTTTTTGATGTTCGTTTGATTTTATTTTACATGAAAATTGTTAATTAGACGGATAAATTTTTTTGGTATTGGGGATAAAATTTGTTTCCCTTGCCAACAAAAAAATAAAAAATAAAAAAAATAAAGAAAATCATCTATCTTTTGACGTTCGGTTGGCTTTGTTTTACATGAAAATTATTAGTTAAAGGGAAATATTTTTTTTAAATAATTTTTAGAATTTGTTTTCACGGCAAAAAAAATAAAAATCGAAAAAAATAAAAAGTGCTACAGTAAACGAGAATTCTAATTCTCATCATTTTGATGAGAATTGGAATTCCTTGAAAAGCATGAAAAATCCTCGGTGGCATGAAAAGCTAGAAAATGAATGCCATAGGAAAATAGAGCCATCAAACAAGCAAAAACATGAAATTGGAATTGATTTTCCATTTTCTATGGAATATTTGAATGTATCAAACATACCCTTAGTGTATATTGCTGGTTGAAATATCGTTTCTCATGAAATGTTGGAGCAACGATTTAGAGTTTATAGCTGATTAGTTGGCCGACTTAGATACGTGTGTCGTCACCAAATTTCGCGGCCTCTAAACAGGATCATGCTCAAAATGTCAAGATTTTTAGTCTCAATCAAAATCATAAATGAGGGTTAAAGTATATAAAATTCGAGACAAATAACAAAATCTTACCTCCAGGAGTTACTTGCACTCTCAAGATTTTATGCTTCCCCCTTGAAAAATGTAAAGTTTCAACGAGAATGCATATTGAATCAATTTTGTAAGGCTTAGAAATTATAGAGAATCAGCAAACTTTGGAAAAGAATCTATTTTCTGACAACTTTCTCCCTTAACCAATGTTTAAGCAAAAAAAATTCAATCATATGCAAATTTCATTAGCACAAGAGCTGCGTGCTAGACTCATTACTCGCACATAAATGACTTGTACATGAAAATGTCGCACTAGAATATTCGCTTTCCCAAAACTCACATTTGCACATTAATTTTTTGTAGTATCTTACAATGTGCAAAGAATGTTTGAGAAACTAGTATCTAGAAGGTATAAT